TTCAACTTTGCTTTAGAATATGCCATTAGGAAGGTCCAGGAAAATCACGTGGGACTGAAATTAAACGGGACACATCAGCTGTTAGTCTGTGCTGATGAAATAAATCTACTGGGAGACAACAAGGGCTCTACAGCCCTTTGGACCTTGGCCGCTTTTTCAGTTTCTTAATCTGTACACAGTCGGTAGGACTCTTTGGTCGGGGGGTCAGCCCGTCGCAAGGCCGCTACCTGCACATGACAACAAGAACACAGAAGAAGCGCACAAATATCCACGCCTCGAGTGAGATTCGAACCTACGATCCCAGTGTTCGAGCAGGCGAAGACGGTTCATGCCTTAGACCGTGCGACCACCGTGATCGGCTGGGAGATAACATAGATACCATAAAAGAAAATGCAGAACTGCTGATTGACGCTAGTAACGAGGTTGGTCTAGAAGTAAACGCAGAGAAAAGTAAGTATATGTTGCTGTCTCATCACCAAAATGCAGGGCAAAATCATGACATTAAGGTAGCTAATAAATCCTTTGAAAATGTGACGCAGTTCAAGTATGTGTTTGGGAAGAGTAACAAATCAGAATTTAATTCAGGAGGAAATTAAAGGAGATAGTCCAAAACCTTTTGTCTTCTCGTCTGCTCTCTGAAAACATAAAAATTAGAATATGCAAAATTATGATTTTGCCTGTGGTTCTGGTTGGGCGTGAAACTTGGTCTCTGACATTAAGGGAGGAACATAGACTGAGGGTGTTTGAGAACAGGGTGTTGAGAATATTTGGACCGAAGAGGGATGAAGTGACAGGAGGCTGGAGAAAACTGCATAATGAGGAGCTTCATAACTTGTACTCTTCTCCAAGGATAAGCAGAATGCATATACGATATTGGTGGGAAAGACAGAAGGAAAGAGACCACTAAGAAAACCAAGATATACGTGGGTGGATAATATTGAAATGGATCTTAGAGAAATAGGATGAGGTGGTGTGGGCTGGATTGATCTGGCTTACGCTAGAAACAAGTGGAGGGTTCTTTTGTGAACACGGTAATAGACCTTGGGATTCTATAAAATGTTTGGAAATTCTTGAGTTGCTGAGCGACTGGCAGCTTCTCATAAAGGCTTCAGCTCCACGGAATTAGTTAGTTCGTTAGATTCTGTTATTATTCTTGGTGTCTAACTTGCAGAAATCTGTATGCACTTCTTATTTTTCCCACCCTGTGTACAACACTTCTTTGTGCTTGACGGTCAGAACTTGTCACATGCCTGAGTTTAGTTCCATGTCTGGAAACTACAGTAGTGGATGCTGTCTTGCAGTGTTACCCAACAACGATCAGTTTGTGGAAAGGGGTTGGGGGAAGAGGGTTTTCGGGGGGTTGTATAAGGGAGCAGCTGTAAGTTATAGAGGGTTGTGGATGGGTTGGGACAGTTAGAGTTTGTGCGGGTGGAGACGGGGCTTGTGTAAGCAAGCAGAAAGTGTGCAGGCGCCCCGTTATGCAAACTTCATTTGGGCTGGCGCGTACAAGTTTCGTCTGTTACTCTCCGGGCCAATTTCCTTCTCCCCCCCCCACCAACCCCCAAACTTTCTCCGGAAAATCGGACACGCAATTGCGTCGTCTCGTGCATTCCGAAAAACAGCAAATTGTACAAGATCCCATAGAATTTAATTCATTTTGTTCGATTTGACAAGTTTTCTAGGACTAATTGAGAGTTCTGAACCGCCATATCTGACTCCATGGAGCTGAGGCCTTCTTCAGAAGCCACCAGTCGCTCATATATTCAAGAATTTCCAAACATTTTATGGAACCCGAAGGTTCATTACCGTGGTCATTGGTCTCTATTCTCAGCCCGAAGAATCCAGTCCACACCACCCCATTCTAGTTCTCTAAGATCCATTTCAATATTATCATCCCATCTATTTCTAGGTCTTCCTAGTGGTCCCTTTCTTTCTGGCTTTCCACCCAGATTGTGCTACGCACCCGGGAGCTTGCCCAGTGTCCAAGAACTACTTGAAATGTAATTTTGTTCGGGCGCAGGTTTGGTGTGTCATTAAGATTAATAAACAGCGCTTGTGGATGAAAGCAGGTACAGAATATTTCGCGATTTTTTCGTAATTGTATAGAAACATTTTACAGATTACAGTAGGTGTAGAGCTGTAGAACTATTCAGGTTCCTGCTGTCACTGTACAGCCCGGTAAGTGTCTGCAGCAATGTGCAGAACTGCAATTATCGTGACTGTACAGGAATATTCTATAGCTTGCTGTATGGGTGCAGAGGCTGTAAAACTATTTACATTCCTGCTATCACCGTAGACCTTGATGGGGATTTACAATAATGTGTAGAATTACATTTTCTCTGCAGGGTAAATTTATGTATTATTTTAGGATGGCGCAGTATTACAACATTAAAGAAACACTATAGGGCACGCGGTAGCGTAGTTGGTTGAAGCACTATGCTACAAACCGGAAGGTCGCGGGTTCGAGTCCCGATGAAGTGGATTTTTTTCAATTGACCTCATCCTTCCAGCCGCACTATGGCCCTGGGGTCGACTCAGCCTCTAACGTAAATGAGTACCAGGAATCTTCCTGAAGGTAAAGGCCGGTGCGTAAGGCTGGCAAACCTACCGCCATCTGCTAGCCGATTTTCTAGAGAAAATGTGGGAGCCTCAACGTCTCACAACCCTATAGGCCTTCACACCCTGTTACAGGGATAGCTTTACCTTTAAGAAGCACTAGGTTACACGTTTACGGTGGACTCACCTGCGCTGGCTGCAGACGTGAGCCACTCTGATCACATCGAGTGCCAAAAGAATTTCATGAGATTTGAGGTTTTCACGGCGGTTTCGATACTGGTTTTCTGACATGTAACACCGTGTAGTCTGGTGGGCCGTGCCCTGAAATTGGAGACAACAAATTCCTCCAAAATGTCTTTAACTACCAACAGGTCTGAAAGATGACAAAAACCAGGTGACTACATTCGAATCAGTTTCATAATTATTTTATTTGTAGTTTATTTAACGAGGACCGCCTCTGTGGTCTAGTGGTCAGAGTTCCTGGCTCCAGATCCAGAGGTCTGGGTTCGAATCCCGGCGCTACCAGATATTTTCTGAGAAGTAGTGAGTCTGGAACGGGTTCCACTCGGCCTCCTGATGATAATTTAGGAGCTATTTCAAGGAAATAGCGGCTCCGATCTAGAAAACCGAAATTAATGGCCGTGGGGATTCGTTGTGCTGACCACGCGACACCCTCTTTCCGCAAAAGATGACACTGAACTTCGCCGACAAGCGGCGGTCGCTCGGTCGGTATACTTCGCTTGCGGACTAAAATCACGGAGTTATTTAACGAGGCTGTCAGTTTGCTCAGACTATAGGCCTATATAGTGCCGAATGAATGGATCATAGAGAACAGGAAAAATATGGAATACAACGGTCGCAGCGTTATTTTAAGGTGATTCGCCGATATTCTTCTGGAAGGACTCAGGATATTCTGTCTCCAGGGCGAGAATCGTCCAAATGATACACACGTTTCATATACTCGTTCATAGAGTGTAGACCCAACTTTTACGAAGGCGTCCAGCCTTAATATATCTGTGTGCACGTTCCAAGTTACGTAAGGTTTACAACATTTTGATGGGAAATCTCATAGAATGAAATGACCTGCGATGCCAAAGGTAAAATAAAATGTGAAAGATGGTTTTGTCCCTCTGCTTCACGGAGCATTACACCATGCAGATATACGGGGAGCAGATATGTATTTTTACGCAATCTTAACACAGAGACGAATGGTCATCTTCAAGCCTCTGGTCGTCTCNCCCACCCCAGACAGGGAAAACAGTCATCGCTACCTATTGGATTAGAAGCCCCAGAGATTATATAGACGCTGTGGGAAATAATTATCTATTTCACTTTAGTTGGGAATCGAACCCTGATTTCTCGGTCAGCAATCCATGGCCTAGTCGCAATACCGATTGAGTCAGGCCCAAATTTTGAAAGGAATCTGCGCTGACGCCGTGCATGTCCCGGTGGCCGTGTGCACGTCCTCATTGCAGACAACAGAGAAAATACGTACTGGCTTGGTAGTCGTTACACGCCGTTCAGCTTGTTAGCAGCCACGTGCTCAAGCTGTTTCCTCGCTCGCGGATTTTTCTACCATGAAGATGAAGGCGATACCTTCCTCCGAAACGTCGGTTGACACAAGATCTACACGGCACCACATCCTACAGGACGGCATTCTTTATTTCATAATAAGTTCACTAGTCCGGACTGTTACTGAGTTACGTTGCCCGCTTGATACCCTTTCAGTTAGGGTGCCAGTCAGCGATTTCTACCATTATGTCCACGGACAATTAGTGACCGGGTTATCACAGCGGTAACGCAGCTGACTGGCTTTCGGCAAGTATCTGCTCTATTTCACCTCAGCGACAGCATATGATCAGAGTTTCTGTGGTTTTCCTCAGCCTCTTCAACAGCCACAGGCATAATACATCAAAGGGGGCCGCGATAGTACTCACACAGCTCTTCCGACGCTCGATCTACAGATTTTTATTTTCCTGTCGACTTTAGCATGCTTTAGGCCTGTGTCTCGTTTAGGGAAACTCATCAGAACTCAGATTTTGTATACCTAATTGAAAGCTATACAATTTCAGCATTAGATAAAGAGTCTTAACGTAGCCGACGAATGTACTCAGGGAACGTCGGCTTTTTGTCTGCCTAGACACTTCTGCGGTGACCATGATTAAGCAATGTTACTCCTGTATGCATCATTGTGACGTGTTGTTACAGCCACGTGGATCTAACAAAAGGAATGTTTATGATTTACTCCCTGCCCAGCATCTTACTAGATCTTCTTTTTCTCTCCGCCGGCATAATTCCATTTCAAACATCTTCCTCTTTTCTATACTCCCTCCAACCTCACACTCTAATCATCCTTTTTTATACCATTTTGTGTGAAACACCCTTCATATTCTCCCCACACCAACATATTTATTTTTTCCGGTTCTACTCTCTTTTTAGGGGCTTTCTGCCAATTTTTTACCACCACCTCCGCGTCATTATTGGCCTTTCCTTCACATGAAGCTCCTGTGTGCTGGACATGGAGGCCTACCACAAGAGGGACAGAGAGAGGAACCCTTGCTTCTGGTGAACACTCAGGTACACTTCCCTTCCTCATTCCACAGAGTTGGTAAAAAAAACAAAATTCCGGGAGGGGGGTGATGAAAGAAAGAGGGAACTTTGTTCTTTTATTTTGGATATGCCTATCTCTCTCAATTTATCCCCATTTTTTAGAAGAACTGGGCGGAGGGACAATAAAAAGAAAAGATATACAACACGGGCAACAGCCTCTCCGGTGTAGATCATGCTGTAACGTTAACAACAACTCTCTCGTTAGTTGTTACGGCCCGGGGCTTGCGCGCTGTCACGCTTTTGAATATTCACATGTGTCTGGCTTGACCCCTATTCACTTCCCCATCTCATGTCGTAATATATGGGTGAAGTGTGCGGGACACGATTGTTAGAAAGAATGCAAGAAGAATGTATCCTGACCTTCCTTCCTAGCACAAATAACATTAGGGAGGTGGGAGGTAGTTATGGTTTAAAAACAGAGTAAGAAAAGATTTGCTTTCGAAGAAGTTGATGGAATATTCATTGAGTTAGGTCGAGTGCCTTCCCAAACGATTTCTTTACATATCGAGGGCTCTCCTCATTCGTGTTTCGTTGGAGGGGAATTTTAACACATTTTAGCTACATAAACAGTGACATAACAAGTCTTGTTCCAATAGAATATATGCAAAACACAATCCCAATTATGAACAAATGTAGGGAAGCTAAGGGAATATCAGTTTCTTATCAATCCCCACAGGCAGATCTTCTGAGAGGTGACGTCATGTAGTCCGGTAGGAGTTCACTGATCTTTTCGAGGAATATACTGCCCCATCTTCAGACTCGAAATTATGTTAAGCAACCAATCACCATTAAAGAAGATGGCGTCAGAGAACATTTGAAAATTAAAATATATGTCTATAGTTCACGAGATACAATGATACCAATAAAATTGGAAAGAATAATTTGAAAATAACGTAAACAGGCCGTCTCGCGAACAAAACGGTGGTGGAGAAACCAAGACAATCTTTGGATTCATTTCAGAGGATTTAACAACCTAAACACACAATGTTCATAATGACGATAATGACGTAATTATTTTCACCGTACCCCACGGAAAACACATTACTTCTCCGCTACAAAGGCTAACCCTTTAATGTTTTTTAGGGAAACTATAGCTGTTTATTGTTAAAACCATACAGAACACGCAAATACACTGTGTGGGAAGAATGCAGAGTTTTAGTATTGTGACGTATGAACCAACTGCTAGGCAACTGCTCGATAAACACGGTCCCGCAAATACAGATTCTTGGTAAAGAGATGAACATCGCACGGTATCCATGGAGAATGAGGCTGGCTGAATCCCAGAGCCGTTCTGGCCGCTGTGGAGTAAATAAAAATCTCATTCCCCTGCCGGGAATTGAACCCCGGCTGTCCTGTCCGTAACCTATCGCTAGAATGAGCTCGTATATCGGCTCTCTTGCCTGTTACGAGAGGATCATAACGGAATACATGTCGCTTACAGTTGTGGAAGGCAAAAATATCACCATAAATGTACATTTAAACCGCCCACAAACTGCGTAAAAAAGTGACTTCGAAAGTCACACATCTGCCCTGCATCACCTCACACGAAGGGCCGTCGCACCATGCAGATAAATAACACATAAATGCACAAAGGAAAATGAAGTGGCAGGTTCAGGAGCGAGATAACCCGCACGGCACGAGACCCACAGCCACCAAGAAGCGCCCAGGTAAATGCTATAAAAAGAAAAGGGGCGTGTTCATTCTCAGAATTATAGGCCTATATACATATTGCTTGTTTAATGTGATAGCAGACACTGACCCCCCCCCCAAGGAACTCTTTTGAGGGTTCCGAATCGCGACATAGGCCTCACGGCGAAAGTAACTGCACGCCTGCTCGTGGCTCCAATCCGCAGGTGGAGTGAGTAAACTCCGGGACTGTCCGTCTGTAGCAGCAGAGTCTTCTACAGTATTCTAACGGCACGACAAACACCTCGCTTAAGCGCGTGACAACAATACATGATCATTGCTAGGGAACGACTCAGTATACACGTTCCGGCAACCACGCAACAATAGGAGCTGAGTTCTCTGTGACTAGTTGCTAGGTTACGCAACGATTCTGACAACAGAAGAGGTATTTTATGTGTGGTCCGTGACACGGCTATATAAGGCAGTTCCAGAATATCTGGCAGTTCAGTGCAGTTGAGAATACAAGGACGAGAATGTAGCATGTCCTGAGTGAATTGTGAAAATTAGTTGAGTACAGATTAGGACGGAGGAGTACAGAGTGATTGAAGAAGAAATAACAAGAAGACTTCATAGTGATTTGAAGTAATAATTCCTGTGTTGAGATCCGTTGCCAGGAGATAGAGCCATTATTTAGATCTGTTACCTAGCAACGGCTAATGCAAGCAGATATAGGAGATTTTATTTATGTGCTATAATTACAGTAATCTTGCGTATGTTATAATTATTTGTAGTTATGACTCGTAAATATCCAGTAAATCGACTCACCGATCCAAACCCACTTCTTTAATCACTAATACACGTGACCATATATATATTGTTTTTGGTTTGATGCCGATAGCTAATAAACCATTTTACTTATGCACGCGATCTCAGTCGGTAAAATGTCGGGGCTACGTGTTGGACGGCTGGGGTTCAATTCCTGACAGTTGCAAGAGATTTTTCTCTACTCCACAGCGTCCAGTCCGGTTATGGTGCCTATCCAGCCTCCTATCCAATGGGGACCGGGGGTAAAGCTGCTGGGGCGTGAGGCTAACTACTCAGCCTTTGAATGCCGCACCCATATATCCACTCTCTCACACGTCTTCATGGCGTAAGGGGATATCTTTACACCTTGTTTTACCTTTACGTGGTATTTGATATAAAGATAAATAATTACATGCCTGCAAATTCTATATAAAATATTGTTTCTAATAATCAGTTAAGAACATGACGACGGTGCGAAATGTTGCTGTTATATGCCACAAATTTAAGTTCGTCACAAGAACAAAATGCGTTACACTTAATACGGCCAGCGTGTTCCAATGTAAGAGCTAGTAAAATTCAGAATGCAAAGGTTCAGTGTGGTACGGATTACACATTCTCAGTTTTGTTGCTTGTAAACTTCGCTATACCAGGTTGAATTTCTATAGGTGGGCTCCTCAAAGTCCACGGATCGATGCACCAACATAAAAAGTCGCAAGAGTCACGTGCACGTCACAACGACTTGAATTCGTATATTGAGTGTCGATGCGCAAGGCCTGTCGATGGAGTTAAGGGATCAGCTATGGTCTTCGGCCATCTTTATCCTCTGAAAACGTCGCTTCTGTCATTCAGAAGTCGATGTAGACCAAAAAACTAATGTGGATGCGGTGATGAAAGAAATATTTCGAAGTTCAAATATCTAACTCCGGCCACGCGGTCGGCAGTCAGGCATTTCACTAATTAAAATTTAAATTCACTTAGTGCGGGGGTGGAGTCCAACTGGGTCCACTCGGCACGGCGGGTGATTATGATGGACAATTTGGTGGTATGAAGATTGGCAGGGGAACCGAAGTACTCTGAGAAAACCCGCCCCAGCACCACTTTGTCCACCACAAATTCCACTTGACCAGAACCCGGGATCGAACCCGGGCCGCGGCGGTGGGAAGCCAGCGACTAACCGCTTGAGCTATGGCGCGGCCCAGGCATTTCACTAAGCTCTCGTGCTGTCTTGTTTCCTGGCGATGAATAATAAACCTGGATCATCACTGTCATCGTCATCATCATCACGGCCTAGATCATTGCTCTTGTTCTGATTACATTATTCTTAAAATTGCTTTAGATTTCTCTCTTTTTTCTTTCTGTTCGCACCTCCCGTTTCTAGCGCCTGCTGCTACGTCTGCGATAGCTGTAACACAAGATTCTTGCCCGGCACCCTTATTGCGAAGTACATGCAGAATGCCCCAAAAAGTCAGTTAACTGGTTAGTAGAGTAGGCACTGTAATACGTCAGAAGTTTCTTTATTGCTTACCGAATTTACAAAAACTTTTCGAAATGAGCTCTTCCACATTCAGTCCACAAGTGACAACCCTATGATACCGTTCTGTAAATTGACTGACAGGTTTAAGTCTGAACATTCCCGTTAATAAAAGAGAATATTTTGCCGGTCACGGTAGCCGAGCGGTCTAAGGCATGTACTGTCTTCGCTAGCTTGGAAACAGGGATCTTGGGTTCGAATCCCACTCAGGGCATGGATATTTGTGTGCGTTCTTCTGTGTTTGTGTACAGGTAGAGGCCTTGCGACGAGCTGATCACCCGCCCAAGGAGTCCTACCGAATGTGTAAGATCTAGAAAAACCGAAGTGAACGGAGAAGTTCACGGAGGTCGACCTAGGCCCACTGGGGCTGTAGTGCCAAAGGGGGGGGGGAAGAAGAGAATATTTTAAGTTAAAAATTTGCCCCCGTTTCTCTGTTCTTCGGTTTGGGTTCGCAAGATGTGATGCGAGCTGAACTCAAATTAGTAGTCACAAAGAAAAACTATCACGCAGTACGTATTTACCTGTTGTCACTTGGTACAGCGAGATGTCACCACAGGGCGATACCCGAGTGCTGTGGGATTCCCAGGCTCCCTTTCATTTTTCCGGTGTCCGCTGATCTTCAAGCTGGAAATAACGAGTAAAAGACAATGGATTACGTAAATCGTCTCAATTCTGTGTGAGGATTCGGACAAAGTGACTTCAGTGCAGGTTGCGGGACAAGGGGGAATACATTTTTAAGAAACTAATCTAATATTTCAAAAAGATGATACGTTAAATATATTTATTTCCATCAATTTCATGTCATATCCATCTCATAAATATCGGCCACAAAACTGACTTCTTATCTCCATGGACCTGAGTTCTTCTTGAGAAGCCGTCCGTCGCTCAGCTACTCAAGAATTTCGGGAAATTTTATGAAACCTGAAGTTTAATTGTCGTTTTCACAAGAGCCCTCCTCTGGTCTCTCTCCTCGGGCAGATAAATCCAGTCCATAATATCGCATGTT